GGAACAGGGACGACATCCTCCAGCGGTGGGCGAGATTCTTCAGCACCCTACTCAACACCAAATCCCCCACCCTGAATCCAGACATCATCGAACGAGTGACGCAGCGGCCAGCGACAAGTGACACTCAACGGTTGGGAGAGGTGCTAGAACTCGAGGAGGTGGCACGGGCAACGTAAGGCCTCAAGAACTGGAAGGCACCCGGCCATGACTCCCTCCCTGCCGAGTTACTCAAGCTCGATGACGACGAACCCTTCGTCCTGGGACACCCCCATACCATCCTCGGCNCAAAGATCGCGACATGCGAGGACTGTACCAACACCTCAAGAGATCAGTGGGCCTCAGCGGGAGACAAGCGGGGGGACAGCAGTTCGTCGCGGATGAGAACGGCGTGTTGCTCCGGAACAGGGACGACATCCTCCAGCGGTGGGCGAGATTCTTCAGCACCCTACTCAACACCAAATCCCCCACCCTGAATCCAGACATCATCGAACGAGTGACGCAGCGGCCAGCGACAAGTGACACTCAACGGTTGGGAGAGGTGCTAGAACTCGAGGAGGTGGCACGGGCAACGTAAGGCCTCAAGAACTGGAAGGCACCCGGCCATGACTCCCTCCCTGCCGAGTTACTCAAGCTCGATGACGACGAACCCTTCGTCCTGGGACACCCCCATACCATCCTCGGCTAAGTGTGGAACGGAGGAGATATCCCGCGAGAGTGGAAGGATGCAACCATCAAGGTGCTGTACAAGAAGGGTGACCGGTCCAACTGTAACAACTACAGGGGGATTTCGCTACTATATCACGTAGGCAAGGTCCCCATCAAGACCATCATTGATCGTCTAAGCGCCTTCTGCGAAGCCAACAACATCCTCCCGGAGGAACAGGGCGGATTTCGACCCGGGCGATCCACCGTCGACATGCTGTTCGTCGTGCGCCGCCTCCAGGAGCTAGGGCGGAGAATGAAAATACAGCTCTACATGTGCTTTGTCGACTCGAAGAAGGCGTATGATTCGGTGGACCGAGAGATGCTATGGAAGGTGCTGACCAGGGCCGGGATTCCCGCGAAGCTGATCAAAGTCGNCAGTACGGGGGATGCCGTATGCCGATGATGCCGGCGTCGTATCTAGGTCTGCAGAAGGACTGGCGAGAATGATGACCATCATCGTTGAGGTGTTCGGGGAGTTCGGGCTAACGGTGTCGGAGAAGAAGACGGAGACGCTCCTGATGCGCGCGAAGGACAAGCCGACTACAACATCACAGCCCCCCCCGCCTCCACCGCTGGCCATCGAAGCCGCGGGGCAGAAATACGCCCAGACGACCGAGTTCTGGTATCTCGGTGGCCTCGTCAACGAACATGGCGACCTCACCCGAGAGATCAACTACAGGAGCAGAGGCGTGGGCGTGCCTCAGGCGATATGGCCGGGAGCTCTTCGACAGACCGAAAGCGCCATTCCGACTCAAGATCCGCCTGCTCCGGGCGGAGGTGATGGAGGCACTGCTGTACGGCCGGCCACTCAGCGGCCACTATCAGACGCTGCGGTCGATACACCACCGACTGCTCCTTCGAGTTATCGGGTACAAGCACAAGAAAGACACCTACCGGCAGCTCTCTTACGCCCAGACGCTGAAGAGGGTCGAATGCCAGAGCGTTGAAGCTACGATCCGACAACGACGCCTACTGTTCGCGGGAGCATTGGCAAGGCAGCCGGACGGGCGACTCCCGAAACGACTGATGTTCGGCGAACTGGCAGGGGGGAGAAGCGACGTCGGGGGGGACAGGAACAGAACTGACCGAATTGTGTGCTCGACGACCTGAAGGCATTCGGGGCCGTCCACGGATCTACGAAAACCGATCCATGTTGTCTCGGAATCCCGGTACCGAAAAGACACGGCACCGAAGTTAAAGTGAACGGAAGCCGGGAAGGTGGAGGGGGGAGTATCCTGGCATGCGGCGGTGCTGCGGGGAGCTGAGAGGTTCATGACCTCCTGGCACGAGAAGGAAGAAGAGGCCAGCCGACAACGAGCGCTCAAACGAAACCACGAGCCAACAACCAATGGGGCGAGAGGAGGGCAGGAGACGGACGAGACGGCCAGGGAAGAAAGCAAAAGAGAAGAGACGGACCGAGTGGCGCGATACGTACCGGATTGAATTTGATTTAGCCAGTTCCCCCCCCCCCAACGCTGCACCATTGCACCAACTTCCCACTAGTGATGGCGTACCATTAAAATGTATCGCTGGTTGGTGGCCATGTTTGTATGTTTGCTTGTTCGCTAGTAGTCTCTCCACCGTGTGAAATTTTTCTGTCTCTCATTTCTTGATATTTTGGGCCTGGTCCCTTTTTGTCCTCGCTCTTCATTTTATTTTCGCGTTCCTTACTGTTTCCTTTTTATTTTTTTCTCTTTTTCTCCCTTTTTTTGTTCTCTCTCTTTCTGTGCCAGATGGCCTTGTCTCTGCTTGCGTTGTGAAGTACCAAGATTGAACCAAGGGGGTGTACCTCATTCTCTCCGGCCCGTGATGGTGACCCCTAGTCTCAGTTGTTACCTCGCATAGCACGCAGAGGGAGTGGAGGATCCAGAATATCTGTCGTTGATTTCTATTGACTTGCGGACCCCTCGGGGTCAGTGTATTTGAGTGTACATTTTTAGGGTAAGTTAACCTGTGACCACGGGAATCGACCGCGTCGAGTGTTGGATCAGTACGGACATAAGAAGGCACTGGTTAGAGAGAGATCGGAACGGTTTTTAACGTGAAGACAACCAGCAATACCATCGGAGTATGATACATCGGACCATTGTCCTAGAGGATTTCTTGTAGTTTGCTACGAGTTGGACTAACCGCCTGTTACCGCGATCGGTACCGTTGCAATAGCCCGTGAGTGCTTTCTTTCCGGGATGAGGATTGATGGCTCGCCCACGTGGCGCTCGCCCCCACTCTCTTACTCTTTCCTGTACATTTCGGCCAACTAAGCACCAAGTGAAACCATCTTCTCTCATCTACAAACAAGTTTGATTTTGCAGTCACTCTAGCCTCGCTCAACACAGTGGGTATTGCCAGATACAACCAAGCTAGGTTTCCATACCAAGCTACTGGTGTTTTATCCCACAACAAGGCAGGGGTTGCAACGACACAAGAAAATCCACAAAAAATGACCCCCTCCTGCTCCCTGCCGCTAGACGACGACGAATACAACACCATGTCGCACAGAGGCAAAAACTCTATTTCACCTGTCACCATGCCGACAAATCACCACCACCTGCTTGAGACGTAGCGCATCCGGAACAGCCGGGTGTCCCTGAGATGAGAAATGTTCACGCACAAAAAACAACAGGGGCGGATATTTCGCACAAACCAGACTATGCAGGTATAGCCTTGAACAAAGGGGAAGTTGCGGTGGGGCAAGTGGCTAGCTGTTGCACCGCTGCTGGAGCTGGGAGGAAAGGAAAAGGGCGGCTTGTCCATGGTGGGTGAAGTGCGAGGTTGCTGGTGCGTAGTCAGGCGTTGGATGACCGAGCACGGAGCGAGTGGGAAAGAAAAAAATATTGATTGGATTGGGGAGATAGAGAGAGAAAGAAGATAGTGATGCCGGAGGCACCCCTCACACCTCGTCAACGGCAGTACCCCTCAAATGCACGCTTGCTGTTGTAACAGCATTTGACGCCGCAAACACCGGGCACATCGGAAGCATTAGCGGCGGTTTCGTTCCACCCTGCACGATCCCGTGACCCCTGGTACCAGCCCCTCCCTTCAGACAACGGTGGGTTACAACATAATCTGCTGTGACTATATTTTACGATATCTTGCATCCCAAAAACTAAAAAAAAAAAACACAACAGCAACTGCATGTTATTACTTCCAAGTAATGATGGTTCGCTCTGCTCATGTTTTTGTCCTTCCAGGCGTGTATTTCGATGTACACGTAGTCAATGGATACCTTTGCACAGCAGGCTATTGTTGCTTGGAGGCGCGAACAGAAACATAGGAGGCAGGAAGCAGGGGAGATGGATGGATGGGAACAAGCGCAAAAAACGCAAAAATGATACCCTTGCGTTGGTTGTCCTTACAGCCTGAACCGCTACACGGGGTAGAGTAGCATTGGGGGTGTTGTTGTACCACGTCAAAGTGCCCCTTGGTCAGGATACTGTGACAAGAGCGGTGTTCAAGTGCCGAACCTGTTTCGCGACGCTTTCCGATGCAAACAGAACTTCCCAAGGGTGAATACACGCGGTGTGCTTCCTCTGCTTGGCGACCGTAAGCGGCAAAGAAGCAGTCACACAGTGCAGTACTTGCCCTTGTCCCCCGGTATGTTCAAGGGAATGCTGCTCCAGAGATGTGATTGCTGCCAAAATGGCGTAACCCTGTTGTACATGATTTCGACACATGAAATGTATGTGCTGCGATCCTTCCGAGGGCTCGGTCTGGGGTTCAATCCCAGCCAAGGCGATTTTTTTTCATATTTATTTTTTCCGTGTAAGGCTGAGTCTAATGGTGTGATTATTTCCCGATTGGATTTGGGGGGGGGGTCCTTTTCTGAGCTCAAAAAATAATTTGGGCGTCTCACGGGTAGGAAAATGGCATTTTCCAGCAGCCCAAAATCCAACAGCGCAGTTTCCAACAGCGATTCCGGCCGTCCTGTTAGAAAATTGGCCCATTTTCCAACAGCGATCCTGTTGGAATATCGCTGTTAGAAATGGGAGGGGGTACCCCCTGGTCACACCCCGATCGTGCCAGAACGAGGAACTACACCGTCTGCTGGCCAAACAGAGGCCAGTATCATGAGGCCATGCACAAACCCTCTGCAGGTATCTAAAATTCAGGGCGTTCTGCGTCGTGTTGGCCGCACACGAGCCGAAAACGTCATCCCTGCCACACTGCTCTGCTGACGTTCTTGCCTTTGGGCCGAAAAGAGCCGTTTTTACGCTGGCTGCATGTGTGACCAGTTCAAAGCGCATGCCAGAGAGAGTCCTTTCGCCGTCGACATCCACAAACTGCAGCCAATGGCGTGTGGTCATACTTATACCCTCTGCTTGCGTACCAGAAACAGAGCGTATTGTCCAGTTTTGATTGCACACGGCCTGCAAACGTGAACCAAAGTGTGTTGCGGTGTTGGCTTTTTGGTATTTTTTCTTGTTCCGCCGCGTGTTTGCTCCGTGTGTCACCCGCGACCAGTCAAAAACGCATGCCAGAGAGAGTCCTTTGGCCGAGGACATCCACAGACAGCAGCCAGTGGCGTGTGGTCATACACTTACCCTCTGCTCGCATCCCAGAAGCAGAGCGTATTGCCCAGTTTTGATTGCACACGGCCTGCAAACGTAAATCGAGGTGTGATTCGGTGTTGCCTTTTTTGGACGTTGCTTTTTTGTTCTGCCGCTTGCTCCGAGTCTAGTGTGATCAGTGTACAACGCATGCCATCCGAGAAAGGCCTTTGGCGGACGACATCCACAATCTGCAGCCACTGGCGTGCGATGATACACATGCCCTCTGCAGGCGACCCATAAACAGGGCGCCCGGTGTCTTGTTGGTCGCGCACGAGCCAAAACCATGTACTGAAGCAAAATATATACCTCGAGGAACCGTAAGACGGTCGTTTGGATCTTGATACCTTTTGCCGTGCAGGTCACCACCCCCCGACCGAGAGAAAAAAAGAATCTCCGAAAAAATCACGCCGTAAGACTCCGCCTAAGCCATTCTATGCAAATTCGTTTTGTTTGCACAGGTTTCTGTGAAGTATTTCGTATGTTTCAGGGATGGATGTCCATATATATATCTATAACCCGGAACCGACCCCATAAGCCCACCGGTGAACCACCAAGTCAGGAAGTATATAATTGTCATGTGTACGCACACATACAACAAGTCTTCCGCACGCAGGCAAGGACCCGAACTCCGTGCTTTGCGTACAGCGTGGAGAGGCGCAACGAGAGAGCACCTATTTCAGTATTCAATGCGTGTACTCTTCAAGTCTTCTCACCCTGGTAGAATGAGTAGCAGCCGTGTTGCTCACGTACACAACAAGGTGCATCATCGTTGCAAGGTGTGTGCACGCGATATACGAATTGGACGCAGTAGATTCCACGTGCGATCGTGCATCAACTGCCAGGCGCACAACAGACATACTCGGGCATCAAAACCGCTTGTACTTGTACATACGATAGACAGGTTGTCGTTGCAAAACACATTTCAAAGCACATATTCTGGCGCGTACTACAAGCTGGGCCAGGCGAAAAGCTCACTTTCGTTCGTTCGAGTCTTTTGTCGTTTCCACGAATTTGAGCTTGACATTTTTAGGCTGCTCTCACGAGACAGTATGGGAAGCGCAGGCGCCAGAATTTTTCGAATCTGAGTTGATTAAGGTACTAAACCATCAGTTGGCGGCGCCGGGGGGGATACTTCCGGTACTGAAATCAGCGTAAAAAAAGTTACACCGAATAAGCTTAAATTTGGTGTGCGCTTACCTGGGAGCAGTGCGAAAAAAATGATGATTGTTACAAGGCTCAAATCATCTTCTACCAAGAGATATGACCTCGTACAGAATCCGACACAACACACAAGATAGCCAAGAAAATGTGAGATTATCGCAATTACATCACGGTTTAAACGAGTTGGAATCTGAAATTTTGAGGTGTGGTGGGCTGTTGTATCACGAAGACTTTGACCAGACGCACCTGTTATTTATATATTTNAAAAATGATGATTGTTACAAGGCTCAAATCATCTTCTACCAAGAGATATGACCTCGTACAGAATCCGACACAACACACAAGATAGCCAAGAAAATGTGAGATTATCGCAATTACATCACGGTTTAAACGAGTTGGAATCTGAAATTTTGAGGTGTGGTGGGCTGTTGTATCACGAAGACTTTGACCAGACGCACCTGTTATTTATATATTTTTTAGTCCCCCTACGCACAACAATAGGATTTCCATTTGTCCTTAAATAGGGCTACCTCGTGACAAAAATAAAAATAAATAAAGGTGCGGCTAGTCAAGGTCTTCGCTATACTAGTGCCGACCACATGTCAAAAATTCAGGTTCGAATTCGTAAAAACCGTGGTGTAAATCGCTTTCAACCATTTTGTGCGTTTCTTGGCTGGCCCAGCTTGTATGTAGGCCGTTATCAAATAAATCTCATTTGGTTCGGCAGCAGTGTTTTTCATTTTTTCGTGATTGTCGAAATTCCACTGCCTGAAGCACGGTACATCTGCAGCATCTTCACGTCTTCACGTCATGCGTACATGAAGAGTGCGTCCCCGCGTCCATTCTCAAGCCTGAAACAACGAGCAAAATAGAGGCCAACTGTATGTGTACAGTCCGGAGTACAAGGCAACGCCTACGATTTCGTCGGCTTGCCATCAAAAGGACAAAAAAAGGAAAGGGAAGTGTGCCGTAAAGAAAATGATGTCAATGTAAATGATTGGCAGATATCGTTGTAGGTGAAGTATGCATATTGGTAAGTGCAATACAGCAGTGTACTTGTACATACATTAGTTGAATGCATGTGTACAGCAGTACAGCAGTAGTAAACCATTTATTGTGGGGGGGAGTCGCAGATGGAATACCCGAGGAAGTGCGGCACGTTCGGCAAACCAAACGTCATCGCTGTCATGTGTGTGCGCCTGTCAACACCCAACAACCAAGCGACGCTAGCCACGCTTCTCACCATCGACCTGAAGGAGTGCTTGTTGGTCCCACTGTCTCTAGGGCTACAGACAGGAGTGCTAGCCTCCTCCTCGCTGGCCCCTCCTCGAGCCTTGAGCGCAAAGCCTCTGCTGCTGCCGCCACTGGAGCTAGTCCCGGCAGCAGCAGCAGCTGCATGAGAAGAGGAGCAAGAGACTAGCGTGATGGATATGGGCATCAACGAGCATAGGGATCGCATCAGACCGGTGGCATTGCCTGCTCTCGACGTGTTGAACGCCATTGCTAGCATATGCAGCACACGCGAGGAGCTGTCTGTGTTGTCTACGTATTGATTCCGACGATCGGGTGCTCCGCGACAGAGAAATTAGAGGGATGGGGGAGAGGCAGGAAGGGGTGCTGGTCACACGAGCATACGAGCATTGAGGAGTACCCATCACAAGCTCTAGGTGCAAAGCGCAAAGGAGGTGGGTTCCTCCACGATAAGATCGAAGCTGCTCAGCTCCTTTCTCCAGTGGTTTGCTGTGTGTTTTGTTCGGGGCGCATAGCACACCTGAGCAAGTCGGTTTGAGTGCGGTGGAACGAACCACCTGCCTCTCTATGTTAATACTCAGCTCAAGACAGCTGTACAAAGATACTCGCGAATACCGGCCGGGATGCAGTTTGATCCACAGGGATGTCGGCATCGCCCTTGCTGGAGAAGGATGGGCCTTTGGACCGCTTGTTCTTGTGGGTGCTGTTTTGTGTACACGTATTGGGTGTCATTGCTATCTAGAGAAACAGAGCTTATTCCTGTCTTTTCTTGAAAGCTTCTACCAAACTACCGTAGATGACACAAGATAACACACCCCCTGGACCGATTTTCAAATCTCGATTTCTCGACATCAGAAAGAGTAACAGCGCGGAAAACGGTGGAGTTGAAGCTGTTTCGTCTTGGGCTTCCCGAAAATGTATTGTTTCATTTATGCATTCTCTTCGTTGTCGCATAATCGAGCTTTGAAAAATGGTCCAGGGGGTGTGATATGTTGTGTCATATACGGTAGTCTCAACACAGAGAAAGATTTGTACCCGTTCGGATATTACTGCTGTGGTCAATAGGGACGTGCTCAGAGGTCTTTCCTGACTGCACAACAACCATCTGACTTCTATGCGCACAGCCGTCCCAAGCCACGTCAATCATGTCAAGCCTTGGAATTTCTACAGCGGTACCGCAACAAACCACACCAACATGAGTAGCAGCAGGGCAACGACGTAGCACGAGGCGCGGCTTCGGCGAAGCAGTCTCTCTTGTTTATCTTCCAGCAGCAGCCCTAAGAATGCGCACGATTTTCGTAACCATTTTTTCTCGATCTCCTCGCGGTTCGAGCAGAGGTCGGCGAGCCACGGCAGCGAAGGACGAGAGGCATTGATTGCCGTGTGCGGGGAACGACCCAAAAGCGGAGGTGGTCAAAGGCGTGAGTGGGGCAGGAGCGAGTCAGGGTAAGGGGAGTGGATCGAAAGCAAGAGCAATGATGGACGATTCTGCCCTCTTCTGCCAACACGAGGTGCGTTCTTGTTGGGGAGTGTGGAAAACCCGCCCGTCTCTCTTTCTTCCCAGCCCGCTCTCTTTTTGCATGTGTCAACGATCACTCCGCACGCCCTCGGGCAGCCAGAATATACGCTGTGTAACACCCCCCTCCCGAGAGACGATATTGGATGCCTGCTATATCTCCGCGATAAAGGCGGCAGGGGTGCTCTATGCAAGCAACGAGACGCTTCTGAGCAGTGCACCTTGCCCTTACCTGGCGTCAGCAGCGGCAGGGTCGACGTTGACTTGGAAGCCAACACCAAGACGGAACTAAGAATCCTGCGACAGACAGGAGATGAAACCAACATCGGCCATGATGGAGGCGGCGGAATAGTTTTTAACATATTTTTCGAGCCTGGACGGTACGTTCCTGGTTGGACAACGCTGCTGCGAACTCACTTGCTGCGAGTAGACCAAGTCGTTTGCAGCAGCGTCGTCCAAATCAGAAGTATTCCGTCTCGGCTCAACGACATGTATGGTACAGAACTCCTCCACCTCCCGTGGTGCGGCCGATGTCGTTTTTTTCAGCTCATGTCTTCCACAGGACTGTCTTTTTGTTGCTGGTATTCACTTGTGTCGGCGCTGTGCTTTGTGAAGTCCCACCGCCCCCCTCTACCACTTTCCCCTTTGTTCTGTTCTGTTCCCAACAGAGATGTATGGCCTGATGGCCTGTCCCTGCAGAGAAACTTGCCCTGTGTCCCGTGCGGTACGCACACAGCGGTCCCCCATAACCACAACTAGTGTTTGCTCCAGGATAACGGACCACCTATGGTCCGTTTCCGGAAAAATTCACAATATTTTCCCCTGCACAAAGGTGCACTTTTCTCGGGGTGGGGGTACTTATTCCGAAATCTGAAAATACCGCGTAAATCGACGTTTCAAGGCGCATCTTCGTACAGAGTTTTTTTTTTTTTTCGTCCTTCGCTCGATATGTTCAGATATTCAAGAAATCTTGCTTACTTTCTGGAGGGCGGTGTTTTTTGCAGACACAAAATCTGAGACCGGATTTGGACAGCTCTCGTGATTTGCCACCGATGATTTTTTTCCGATTTCCAATTTGACAAAAAATAACGGAGTTATGGGCAAAAAACCGGATATTGGAGGGTATTTTCCTTAGTTTCTTGGGGACAATCCTACCGTACGATTCAAAAATAAAGTGCTGCAATCGATTCCTCTCGTGATTTCCCACCGATGATTTTTTTTCGATTTAAGAAAAAAACTCGGGTTTCGGAGATATTTCGGGTGGAATCACACGCCCTCGGGGAATTTTTTCCCGCNCACCAGAGCACACACACACACACCCTTTACGCACGCAACGAAAGACGCACACGCGCTCCGGGCACATGGGTCGCCCAAAGGGTAAGCGCAAGCTGCCAAGGAACGCCGACGGCACGATTCGGAAGGCCCCTTCGCCCCCTGCGGACCCTGCTGTAGGCAACGACTCTCCTCCCTCTTCCGACCATGAAGGCGCCAATATTTCTCCCATGCACACCAACGACCACGACGACGACTGGCGCGATGAGGATGCGGGTGGCGAGCCAGGTCGCGGGCAGGCGAAACTACCGTTCGGTTCTGCGGTTCGCTGTGCAGCGAGCGCTGCGGTGTCTGCAGCAGCTCGCACAGCAATGGCGGTGGCGCCCGAAGTCGCGCCGCCTGCGCGAAAAAACGCGGTGCAACCTCTCCACCGGTCGACGCAGCATCGCCACAGGCGAGCGCGGTGCGGCGACAAGGCTGATGATGATGTTCAGCCTCAGGACACCGGTGAAGCAGAAGCTGTGGGAGACACCGGCGAAACAGCAGGTGTGGGAGGAGCCGGGCACGCAGCCTCTAGCGGTACAAGTGGTGAGACCGTCCGAAAAAGTTCGAGGACGAACCTTTTCGACGGGCTGTACGCCGACCCCGCCCGCGCACGAGACGGGGCACGCGGCCGATGCAGTGGGCCTGGGCGAGGAACACGGGTGGCGTCGGGGGATGGAGCCAAGGGGAGGTTTGCCGGGTTGAACAAAAAACGA